CTTGTATTTCGTTTCTATTTTCTTCTTCAAACTTTTTTCTCTCTCTCTCTTTTATATATATCAAATATGCTTTGTGAACCATTAAATTTCACTTTAATAGCAATAGAGAATAATTTACTCAAATCATCCAATAATTCCTTGTTCCTTGGCTTGCCCCAATCTCATTTCCAAGGTTAGTACTTCATTTGTCTCACTATCACTTGAATTAATTTACTCAAATCAGCCAACAATTCCTTATTCCTTCGCTCACCCCAATTTCATTTCCAAGGTTAGTACATCATTTGTCTCGTTGTCGCTTGAAGTAATTTACTCAACTCAACCAACAATTCCTTGTTCCTTGGCTCGCCCCAATCTCATTTCCAAGGTTAGTACTTCATTTGTCTCGTCGTCGCTTGAATCGATTCCTTCCAAGTATTTCAATTTTCTATTTCGTTTCGTGAGAAATAAACTTGAAATTTGTTTGAAGTAGCCAAAACCCACTTGTTAATTTATGCCGAGGTTTAGTTTTTTTTTTTTTTAATGAATAAGTTTTCTTTCTTTTCTTTGTAGAGAAATTTAGTTACTCCTTATTGATAGCTTGTACTTATAATCTTGTAGCATTTTTAATACATGCCTGCTCTAGACCTAAACGAGATGTATATATGATTTTAGGGTGGGGTGTTATATGTAGAATTGCAATGGAGAAAATTACCCCAACATGTGTTTTGTGGGTTCTATGTTCTTTGCTTGAAAACTTAAACAATTAAAAAGGCACAATAACAACATAATATTCAATTTTTCCTTAAGCTCTATGGGCGTCTTTAAGTTTTTAGCAGGTATTCCGCATTATGGCAATTTAGGGCCTAACTTGATTACCTCCTTTAGCAAATTTGGTGGAACAACCTATATTTCTATAGGTATTTCTTAATGTGATTTTGAATTTATAGAGGTGATTAGATGATAACACTAGAAAATCTAATTCGATCACCCAAAAATTGGACGTGCATGGTAGGATTGTAGCCAATTTTCGTATAGCTTTCAAGCCCTATACACTATCTTTATGTTTTTGGTTTTGTCTTTTACCTCTATTTCTACTGAGTTTTTTTTTTTTTTACCTTTTTTATTTATGGAATATATTATAAAATTAAATTTTAGAGTCCAATTAGTATTAGGATTTGGAATTATGAGTCGATTTTTGTACTTTTCCCATAAGTCGATCTTCCAATACCCTATTTTCTATTCTCTTTTCAAGTTGAGAGGGCAATAGCAATAAGATAATTTGAATAATGAGTAGTCATATTATTGATGCTGATCCGATATCCCAATTGCCTCACCACATTCTCTCTTTTCTCCCAACAAAAGATGTGGTTCGTGTTAGTGTCTTGTCCAAGGAATGGTATGGCTTTTTTACTTATTTCCTCATATCTCATTTCTCTAATTCCTATTTTGGAATTGATTATCAAGATCACTTTATGAAGGTAGACGGGAGACTCGAATTTGTTAACTTTCTCTACACTTCTTTGCTTAGACAGTTGTTACATAGTAAATACATACCAAAATTTGAGTTGTCTCTCACTTGTAAATCAAAGAGTATTAGGTGTACCACACCCCGAGTTGAAGCACAAACTTACTCGTTCTTATTAATCGTTGTATATGACTCGATACACAGTACGGTGTTAAAAAGCTTGCTCTTGAATTTCCTTATGATAACTATTATTATCGATTGCCCAAAGCCACGTTCTTCTCTCGCTAAAGAATTGGTTGTTTGTAGGTTAGCTTATTGTAGTATTAATGCTCCTACCATAAATTGGCCCTCTTTGCATGAGCTTAGGGTCGGCTCAAGGCATACGCCATTAAGGCCTATGCCTAGGGCCCCCCATAGAAAGTAGGACCCCAATTAAAATTTTATCCCGAACCTACACCCTAAAAGAATGAGATAAATTAAAAGTTGCAGCCTTCACTTTTACTTACGTAAAAGTTTCGAAAAATATTTGTGAGTGAAACAATTTTTAGATCTCTAATTTTTTTTATTATATTCCTTTCTTTCTCCAAACAATCGGGGATCTCTTATAAAACCTTTTCTAATTAGCTTGGCAAAAAAATCTAAAGGTAATTTTTTAATTTATGCAAATAAAATTATGTATATAAATCATATAATATTTTATTTTTTTCTCAATTTTTTTTATTTTCTCAAGTGATTCTCTCCAGGTTTACTTGATTAGGCGTGGCAAGCAAATATAATCAAGTGCCAAAGTTTCTTTTTTTTATAATTATATTTTAATTTTATTATTTGAATAGAATGTCTACTAGAAAGTATGAATCCGGATATGAAAAACGTAAGAGAAAAAGAAAGGTAGAAGAACTAATTCAATCCCAAAAAGGTGCACTTGATAGATTTGTTACTAATATTAAACCTCAAATACTAGAAGAACAAGATAAAGATTTAAATGAAAATATAGTTGAAAATTGTGAAGAAAAATTTGAAGATAACAATTCAAATTCACCAAAAAGTAATGAAGAATATGATGAAAATTTAGAAGATGATGTTTCAATCAATAAAAGTGAAAATATTAATGATGAAGATGCAACAATAATTAAAAATATTTAGGATCCGGCACCATGAAAAAATTTAGACTCAAAACTCGATTGATTTATTATTTGAGAAAGGTCCAATTAGAGAAATTTTAGATTTTTTAAGAGATAAAAACTCTAGGCATTTTTCTACAGTTCATTACATTCGAAAATTACCAAATGGAGAAAAACATGATAGAAAATGGCTAGTATATTCAAAAGAGTTAGATAAAGTGTTTTGTTATTGTTGTAAATTATTTAGTTTGAAATCAAATGTTCAATTAGCAAATGAAGAGTGTTGAGATTGAAAAAATCTTAGTTCCAAACTTAAAAGTCATGAGACAAGTAATGAACATGCTATTAATATGAACATTTGGGTTGATGCTCGGATGAGATTGCTTAAAAACAAAACAATTGATAAACATTTACAAGAGAAAATAAATAAAGAGAAAGAGCATTGGAGGAATGTATTATTAAGAATTATTGCTGTTGTAAAAGCTCTTTCAAAAAATAATTTGGCATTTCGTGGTACAAATGAGAAGATTTATCATGACAATAATGGAAATTTTTTGAGTTTAATTGAAATGATTATCGAGTTTGACCCAATAATGCAAGAACACCGATATTCATATGCATTATCTTGGTCATAATATACAAAATGAGTTGATAAATATTTTAGCATTAGAAATAAGAAATACCATTATAAAAAAATAAAAATCAAAGAATCAAAATATTTTTCAGTTATACTTGATTGTACTCCGGATGCAAGTCATCAAGAACATATGTCTCTTATATTAAGATGTATAGATATTTCGACAATTTCAATAAAAATAGAAGAGTATTTTATAGATTTTTTAAAAATGGATGATACCTCTAGTGAAAGTCTTTTTAATGAACTTACAAGTAAGATAAAAACTCTTAAAGTTGACATAAATGATGTGAGAGGGCAAGGATATGATAATGGGTCTAATATGAAAGGTAAACATCAAGGCGTACAAAAAAGATTATTAGATATAAATTCTAGAGCATTTATACACCATGTGGTCATCACAATCTTAATTTAGTTCTTTATGATATGGCTAATTTATGTGCTAGTGCTATGACATTTTTTGGAGTAACACAACGTATATATTCATTATTTTCTTCTTCTACAAAAAGATGAAAAAAGTTTACAAGATCATTTTTCTAATTTGACACTTAAGCCATTATCACAAACACGTTGGGAAAGTCATATTGAAAGTGTAAAAGCAATTAGATTTCAAGTTCAGCAAATAAGAGATGCTTTATATCAATTAGCGAAAACTAGTGAGGATCCTAAAACAAAAAGTGAAGCTATTTCTTTAGCAACATATGAGATTGAAAATTTTGAATTTCTATTAGGCATGATTATTTGGTATGATATGTTGTTTGTTGTTAATACGGTTAGTAAATATTTACAATCTAAAGATATGGATATTGCTCTTATAATAAACCACTTGAAAGGTCTTATTTCTTTTTTAAAAAGCTATAGAGAAAATGGGTTTATATCTTCTATGATCTTGGCTAAGAAAATTGCAGAGCAAATGAATATAGAACCAAAATTTCATGAAAAGCGTACAATAAGAAGAAAGAAACAATTTGATGAGATTGAAAATGAAGACATGAAATTACCTATTGAAGAATCTTTTAGAATTAATTATTTTACATATTTAGTTGATCATGCGATTTCCTCTCTTCAAAATAGGTTTGAACAATTTAAAATATATGAAGATAATCTTGATTTTCTTTATAGTGTAGAAAAATTAAAATCACTCGATGATGATAGTTTGAAAAAAAAATTGTTTAAATATTGAAAACTTTCTAAAGCACGATATGCTTTCTAATATTGATGGTTTAGATTTATTTTCAGAATTAAAAGTTTTAAAAGAAATTATAACTATAGAAATGAAAACACCACTTGCCGTACTAAATTTTATAAAAAAGGTAAATTCTTTTCCAAATGCATGGATAGCATATAGAATATTATTAACTATCTCTCATTATCGTAGCTTCGACTGAAAGAAGCTTTTCAAAATTAAAATTAATAAAATCTTATTTACGTTCAACTATGTCATAAGAAAGATTAAGTAATTTGGCTATATTATTAATTGAAAAAGATTTGCTTTGTAAACTTGAATACAAAAATTTAATTAGAGATTTTGCATTTCAGAAATTAAAAAAAATAATATTTAAATAATATTTAATATTTATTTATTTTAAGAAAGAGTTTCTAAAATATTAGTTTGCCTAGGGCCATATATATTATATAGGCGGCCCTCGTGAGCTTTCTCTAAAACAAGTTTATCTTTGTGACCAAAAGATTATCCACAATCTCGTCTTTACTTGCCCTTTCATCGAGAAATTTACTATAGATCATTGCTCTGGGTTAGATTACCTTACACTTTCTGGTTTCAAAAAACTAAAGGAGATCAATGTTACGGGGAGAAGTCCAAATAAGATTGAGGTTGATGCCCTTAGTCTTTAAAATTTCTTCTTTTTTTTTTTTTTTCAGGTTCTGGTGCAGATAATGAGATTAATATAATTCTTGCAAAAGTCTGGAAGTCTTGAAAATTAAGATTAGTAACCTTACTGTGGGAGCAATTCAAGACCTTATTTCAAATTTTTCTGCATTTAAGGTTTTGATTTTGGACTTGGATAAGGTTTGGGACTTGGATGGTAATGAATTAGAGAGTATCAAAATTTCAAACCAACGGCTTGAGAAGTTAAAGCTCTTTTCATATACGATGGAAACTATTATTGATGCTCCAAGGTTGAAGTCATTGAAATATTTGCTTAGAAAATTTCCGTCAGTGTTTTCTGTGAACACAACAAGTTTACATGAAGTTGACCTTGTACTACTATGTCATTGTAGTCTCCTTGAATTGAACAAATTTCTTAAGAATTTCAATCAAGTGAAGCTTGTCAATTTGTATCTGTCATATCGTATTTATTTTGGCTTCCCGAAAGTGTCAGCAATATCTCCAGTTCAGTTCAATTATCAATCCTTTGGAGATCATCATCAATTTAAACAATGTTCTTTTAGTCTCTTATTAGTGCAGCATTCTTCTCTTCTAGAGAAGTAATCCTTTCTTAGGTCTCACCAAATTGTTCTGCCAATGCATCATTATCATACTGTTTTCCTTCTAGGATGTCTTCTAAATCGTCTTTTTCTTTCTCAAAGACTTTATTTTCCATCTTTTAAATCTCCAACACATCATCAGGTAAAACAAATTGGAATTGCTAGCCATTGATCTTAGTGAATTTTAATGTTGATTCAGTTTGTACATGATAACATAGTTGCTTTCAATGTTTTATTCTTTTGTTAGTTATGATTTGCCAAATTTATATATCTTCTGCTACATACTAAGCATTAGCCTCTATTTGTTCTCTTTTCCTCAGCCAAATCCTCCATCAATTTTAGTTTCTCAACATGATGTAAATGGTGATGTTGTTCAATGTTTTGTAGGTGACTCATTCACCGGAGGGCATGGATACGCTATGATAATCCTTGTTTGATGTTTGTGGAGTCTCTACAGGGCGGAAGATGGAAAATGTTTTGGATCAAGAAATCAATGTGATCAATGACATAGTGGGACCTGAAGAGCACGTCATATGTGCATTGTCAGGGGCCCGGATTCCACAATTGCTGTAACTCTTATTCAAAAGGCAATAGGAGACAGGCTTCATTGTGTTTTTGCTAATAATGGCTTGTTGAGGCAACTACCTTTATTTCCTCCCATCCCCCATTAACTACACAACTAGCATCTTCTACTGAAATTTTTAGGTATAAGGAAAGAGAACGTGTGATGGAAACTTTTGAAAGTGATCTGCATCTACCCGTTACTTGTGTTGATGCATCAAATGAATTTCTTATTAAGCTGAAAGGTGTGGTAGATCTTGAGATGAAAAGGAAAATTATTAGGGAGGAGTTCATTAGCATCTTTAGTTATCATGTTTTGCAATAACATATGTATAAAAATGTGGATGAGTCATTCTAAAGTAGTTTTTGACCTTTCAGTTATCATGTTTTGCAGGTAGATCGGGTATTCTGAATATTTACAAATTTCAAGTTCATACGTGTTCATTGCCCTCCTCTGGCTTGGCTGTAAGTGAATCTCACCGACCCAAAATTGCATTAATTGTTAATAGGTAGTTTGTCAATTTGTGTTCCCTAATTGAAAATGTTTATTCTGTTGACTTGGAGTGGTTAGGAATATGTCCAAAGCTTCTGCTGATCTGCTATTCTTTAGAACACCATCATGGCTAGCGACACGTTCAGGAAGATGTCTCCACTGATTATTGTTTGTTCAAGTCAAAGCGTATAAAGTTCTATGTTGACTTTTTTTTTTTTTTTTTCTCAAATTGTAAACTTGGGGAATGCATTATGGTTTGTAAATCATATGTCTGCCACTTGGTTTTTATTTAGTGACCAATCCTTGTAAATTGCTCAACTATCTTATATAATTTTATTACTAGGAACTGCCAACTGGTAGTGTGAGCTTTCTTTTTGTACTTGAATCGTTAACTCTGTTGTATCTACAGTTATCTCGATTGCATAAGAAGATCTTTTCCTCTATCTGGAGTTACCTCTAGGATTCAGATTAACTTTTTTTTTTTTTAATTTATTTGTTTTTTTGAAAAAAAAAAAAGAAAATAATTGAATTTGAAGGTGAAATAAAACTATAATACTAAAGGCAATTAAAGAACCGTCTTTATGAATTTTAAGATCTGCCTCTATGATTTCTTAAAATTGAGGCAATTATAATCGCCTCTATAAATTCTATAGCTTGGAACGGTTTTAAAAGCCTTTATAAATTTTAAACCTTGCGGCGGTTGTAACCGCTCCAAAAATTTTATGCAAAATTTAAAAAACAAATACAGGAACGTAGAGGTAGTTTTAAACCACCTAAAAAATTATACATCAACAAATCATAAAAGATAAAATTGATATTGTAGAGGCGGTTGGAATCGTCTCGGAAAAAATAATTTGAGACGGTTCAAACCGCTTCAATCAATTATTTTAGAATTCTCGGATATTTGACAAAACAGCCTCTATATCGTAAAGATCGTGACATTGTAGTTTGTTTTGAGGCGGTCTGAAAAATTACTTTTACAATTTGTAGAGGCGTTTATAACCGTCTCTAAAAAGTAAAAAAAACCACATGTAATATTTTTTTTGGTACAGTAATACAGTTGTACACATTATAGAGACACCTAAGATAGATACAGCGCAACAGTACCCTTTGCCAATATAAAAGGATTCAGAAAAAATCCCCTTTCTATAACACATGTTACCCTAGCTGAGACATCACTCAATTTTGTTTATTTTTAGCTACAACTATGGCCAATATTATTATAAGGGTGCATTCCTCCCCAACTCAAAAAAAGAATATATCTCTTCTGTAAGACAATACTAGCAATGGGTCATAATGACTTCTTCTCTAAAATAGACAACAAAAGTTTTTTATGCAGCAAGGTTTGACCCATTATCATGTCCTTTGAGGACAGGTGTATTGTGTGGGATGCTGAACAACGACTTAATGGCTCAGGAACTATAGAAGTCATCTACGTTCAGGTCAAGAACTACCATACCAGCATCCTAAATTCTAAGGCCTGGGTTTTTTAATTGGATAACAAGATATCTTGGGTAGGATTGTTATGAGTATAGAACAAAATATGGTTGGATGAAAATCATGTGATGCCGTCTCTAGTTCAATATTTCGACAAACCAGTCTTTGTATTTTATTTTTATTTTCTTATTTAACTTTCTATTTCCAATAACATTAATGGATTTATCTCCTACATCCATCTCATGTTCGTTAGATAGCTGCTCTCTGTTTCATTGTGCACTTATTTAATTAGATTGAGTGAGTAGGGACTAAATGATTGATTAATTGAAAAGAAGATTCAATTTGACCATGGATAGGTTTTGAAGTCAAACTCGAGACTCTTCCTAACACTTATGTTTTAAGACTACTAAAACATGTCATTGAAAAATCATTATTTTTTTATAGGATTCCATTGATGAGATAATGAATTATCGCACAGGACCACTAAAAAATTATATTTCTCATTTAATTTTTTTATTCTATATATTTTTGCCATTTTTCTTTTTATTTATTTAACAAATACAATATTTATAACAATCACATGCTTTTTTTCACTAGAAAAATCCCTCAACTTATGTATGGAACTCTGTATATGGTTGAAAAAGTTAATTTAAAACTAAAAATTGAAATTTTCTAATAAATTAAAGATAATACGGTTATTTTTTGAAAAAAATACATATGTGTGGTGGAAAAAATAGCATCTTATGCTTCAACATTAGTTGCCGAATCAGATCTAGTTGGTTGGTTAATCTTGAGTTTAAATCTAATCGGGTTTTCAATTTGGCCGTCGAGATCCCTGATCCAATCAAACCTAAACTCCATTGGTTCGACCGAGCCAATCGACTTGCAAAATTCAAAAACAAAAATTTCAACTTTGTCTTTTCTTTCCTTTTTTTATTTTTTTATTTTTTTTACGAAAAAATCTTATCTAATAATTGATACGGTGACATGTAGATTGCTTCGATAACCCAACCATTCGACTCTTAACTGAGTCAAGCCGTGAGTGAGATTTTACAAACTATGGCTCCAACTCTAAGAAAAATTAGGTTTCCTTTATTATTTTTATTTTTTAATTATGGCATTTGTACTTGCTCAGAGAGTGTGAAATAATAATTAAATTAAAGATCTAGTCTATTCCTATGGAAACCCTAGGTGCTAGTGGAAACAGTTGGGAATGTTAAATGTGAGATCTACCATAAGCAGGCATGATTAAATTCTTTACTTGCAGGGACAGGCGGAAACTCTTTTGAAAAACGGAAAGATAAACATTAAAAAAAAACCGTAAGAAAATATATTCATTTTAAAATTGTTATTTAGTACTTTAAGGAGTAACATTTCGTGGGATACCAGAGAATATTAAATCACTGTCCCCTGAAAAAAGAAGAAGAAGAAGTAACAATCAAATCCATCAAAAATATTGGAAGCGTCGTTTGATCTCATTTTTGTTTTTAAAAAAGCAAATTTGAAAACAAAAATAAAAATTTTTCCTTTTTTATTTTAATAAATATTAAGAAATTGACAATTGGTTGTAAAATTTTTTAAAACCTAACACAATAGTTTTAAAAATTGTGATGATGATCGTCGGTTTTTCCTTTTTTTTTTTTTTTTTGTTCAATAAAAAATTCAACACAATTAGGTTTTGTGTTTCTAGTTCAATAAATTTGGGAAAAAAAAAAAAACTGTAAATAATACAAGCATTTACCAAACCAAACTGACAATTCCATTAAAACTAAGTATTTATGTTCACCGCTTAAATTTTCATTTGGGTGCAACCAATTATCTTTGTAAAAACTAGAAAGCGCAAAACCCTCCACACAGCCGTTTGATAAGGCAGGTAAAATTATTATTATTATTATTATTTTAGATTTAGAAGTGAAATTTTTAGAATAAACTATAAATTATTCTTTCTAGTTTGAGAAACATATTAATTAATCTTTCTTATTTTAAAAACTAATTATTTAGTTCTTATATTATAAAATTTGCTTGTAGCTTAATCATTTTTGTTTCTTTTTAATTCATTTTGTTTTATTTAAGAAATAAAATAGAAAAAATTAAGTAAAGTATAAGAAGGAATTGACGATAGAAGATGATATTTTTTAAATAAATTAATATTAAATTAATTAAGTGTGGTAACACTAGAAAAAATATTAAATTAATAATTAATTTTTGAAACATGAAGGATTAATCAATTTGTTTTTTTTTAAATAGAGGGACTAATTTATAATTTACTCAATTTTGCTCATAACCATCAAATCCATTTTATATTAATAACTTTTGTTGTTCAGGACTTTTTGCTGGAAAAAAAATTCAATACGTTCATAATTTATGATCTGTACATTGGCACCACTAATTTGGAATTCAATTTCACTATTTGTGAAACAGAAGCAAACTCAATGAGTTTCTGAAAGAAAACACATAAATAAGCACATACGTTGAAGAGATTTTTATCACTACTTACTGTAAATGAGCACCCATAAGATATCATTCGATTTTGGACCTCATGAAGAATATTTCAACGACAGAAATTGAAACCTTGAAAATATATAAATGGCCAAAGATTCACTCATAAAACACAATTAAAAGCATAAAGGTAGTGGAATTAATGCTCCACTTGTGTGGTAAATATGGGCCATATCTGCCACTCCAAGAGATGACATTCTAACTACAATGGTCATGTGATTCATGAGCAGTAGTCAGTAGACTGGCTTGTATCATTTGGCTCACGTACTGTCCATAGTACCCAGATGATTTCAAACCAATCTACGATGAGTGGAAAGAGATTTCTAGACCTTAGTTTATACTTTACCTAGTAACAGTGGATTGATTGTGGGGGCTGACTTGCTTAGCTACTTTTTTTAGCCTATCATGGGGCCATGCCACTATAGTACTAGCTAGTGAGTCAATTACTTGACGAGGAGTACTAATGGTGATGAAAAGATCGGCAGCGAGGAAATGCAGGATAACATTATAAATATGGGGGCTAACCCCTTCTTAGTTTGTCTCAAAATCACAAAGGCAACTCCTTTGGGAAGATAAGCTTAAAAGCTTTTGTTGATTTCAGCAAACTTTAGTATTGTTTTTTTTGGATTTAGAGTTTGTCAAGAAGTTTTTTTTCTTTTTTGTGTCAAATAGATAAGGAATATTTATATATGTACAAATTACTAATATTTAGATAGAATAGGTAAAAGAGGTTTTAAGAAAAGGAATATTAATCATGGATAATAGCGTGGAGAAGACAAGAATGAAGTTCGAAGGAGATTCCTTGTCTGGTGCTGTGGAGGAGATGTCTGTTGATTGGAGAGGCAGACCCTGCAAGCATAAGCATGGTGGAATGGCTGCTGCTGTTTTTGTTCTTGGTTTGTTTCTCTCTCCCTCCATTTTAAGTCTGTATCTTTGTGCGCGCACACATACATTTGTGTGCGTGTGTGTTTTTAGGTACTTGGTCATACTCATCATAAAAAAGGCTCACTATTTTTTTTAAAAATATTGAGCTTGATTCCATGCATATCTAGTTTTCAACTCTCTCTTCTCTCCTGGAAAAATGAGGAATAGTGAGGTTTCACAAACTGTAAAGTCGTCAATGGTGCCTCCCACATACTAAAACCTTGTTCCGGCAAGGGTATATATTATATATATTTGATTTTGTTAAAGGGTTTGGTGTGATATTCCTTCATCTTTTTCCAACATGTGTGTGTATATATATATATATATATATATGTCGGAATTTTTTGTTAGAAAAAAGTCACATTTTCGTTGTTCTCTATGATTCAGGGCTTCAAGCTTTTGAGATGATGGGAATTGCTGCTGTTGGGAACAATCTCATCACGTATGTGTTCAATGACATGAACTTTCCTTTGTCAAAGTCTGCCAACATAGTCACGAACTTTGTAGGAACTGTCTTCCTCCTATCCCTCCTTGGTGGGTTCCTCTCGGATTCTTACCTTGGGAGCTTTTGGACAATGTTGATCTTTGGGTTTGTGGAGCTCTCTGTAAGTACTCCTTTTCTTCTGACATGATCTTTTATTTTGTACTGTCCAAATCTTTCAAAAGCTCGAGCACTATCAACAAGTTGCCTATTTTTAGATTCTTTTGTCTGTCTAGAAATTCTAGGGGCACCTATATTTTATTATCCTTCAAATTAGTCTTGCTGTAAATATGCAATCTATTTTATTATGCATTTCCCATAAAGTCTTATATACACACAGAAGAGTTGTTAAAAAAAAAAAAAAAAGGAGGAGGAGGAGAAGAAGAAGAAGAAGAAGAAGAATCATCCCCATGTTGGCTTCCCTTTAATTAATTTCCTATAGCTTATAATTGCTTTCTAAGGCCAAAGAGGTAGAGAAAAATGCCACGTCAAAATGTTCACTAATTCTCCATTAAATATTTCGCTCCCGTTAAACATTTTTTCCCTATGCTACAGGGTTTTATATTATTGTCCGTTCAGGCCCATCTCCCGCAGTTGAGGCCACCTAGCTGCAACATGATATCTGATGGAGTTGAATGTGTGGAAGCCAAGGGATACAAGGCTTTGATATTCTTTTTGGCACTCTACTTGGTGGCTCTTGGCAGTGGATGTCTAAAACCAAACATAATTTCTCATGGGGCAGACCAATTCAAGAAGGAAGACCCCAAGCAATCCAAGAAGCTCTCCACCTACTTCAATGTAGCTTATTTTGCTTTTTGCATGGGAGAGTTTATTGCCCTAACCGTTCTTGTTTGGGTCCAAACCCACTCAGGGATGGATGTTGGTTTTGGAGTCTCTGCTGCTGCCATGGCTGTAGGATTGATTTGCTTGATTTCAGGTTCATTTTCTTACAGGAACAAGCCTCCTAAAGGAAGTATATTCACTCCAATTGCTAAGGTATATCTCATTTACCTTTCTTCTTTAGCTTTGAATGCTTTATGGATTTTCTATGTTCAACTTTTGAGTTAAAGGCTTTCCTACCTCTAGGTCCTCAAACTCTAGGTTTGCTGAGCATAAAGCATGTATTTGATATGTGTGCCTTTACCTACCTAGTTAACTTCTTCTTCTTATTTTCCCTCTCCCTCGTTTCTTTTATAGAAATCTATTAACCTGAACATAAGTCCAATCCTTTCCCTCTTGCTTTAAAAGAGAAAAGTGTATATGTGGAAAAAAAATGTTTTTCTTCCTTTTAGCTGGCTATATATATTTAACAGTTTCTTCCTCTGCAATTGTTATCAGATTTTCCTTTTGCCTTTTCTTAATTTACCTGATTTAACATTTGTTTGTAATCTTTGCTCAGGTTCTATTTGTTGTTTCTTTTTGTGGCTCTGGTTCTATCTTTGTGATTACTTCCCCAATCCTTAATTAGAGAACCGAACTAATATAAATAAATTGGCTAATCAAAGGACGAGTACTCTGGTATCCTTTCCCTGCTTAAAATAACACTAGCTAATCTTTACATTTTATAATACAAGCTTTATTTATTTAACATAAGGGGATATTGCTAGTGATATATGATGACTCTCTCTCTCTCTCTCTCTGTATATATATAAAAGCTAAATAGTTTACTATGTTCTTATATAATATTTTTAGTCTTGTATATATTTTTAAGTTTTAATTGCATTTTATCTATTTTAAAAGTTTTTTTAAATATTTAATCTATCTTTCTGATCATTCTTTTGGAAAATGGACACAATTTTTAACCAAAACATCATTTATTGAAATAAAACAAAAACTATTTAAAATCGCATGATCTATATACGTTATTTTTAAGCCTTTAGAATTTTATTTCAGTTCAAAAAAATTCCATGATTGAAAAATTTGATAAAAAAACAGATTGAATATTTTAAAAATATTTAAAAAATATGAAATATAATTAAAAATTTAGAAACAAATAAAAAATTAGAATATTATATAAAATCAGATTGAATTATTTATCCCATAATTGCTACCGTCCTTTATTGATCAACGTGCTCATTTTAAATTTATTGCATTGTCAATGTGTTTGTCTCTTTCAATTCTTTGATTAATTTAATTTTCTATTCATTTCACTAGGTTTTTGTTGCTGCAATTACAAAAAGAAAGCAAATTTGTCCCTCAAATGCACAGATGCTTCATGGATGCCACAACAATGTGCCAAGCCACGTCCCAGCTACGTCACCTGACGTCACCAAGTTGCTTCGTGCTGAAAAGTTCAGGTAGGATGCAAAAACGAAAATAGAAATTTTCAACCTCATATTGTAATTGTTAGATTTTAGATAAATTTATTTTACATTCATTCCTATTTCAATCAAATTTGATTTCAATTAATTATTTGTGATATTTTGTTTACATTAATTAGATCATGTTAATGCATCAATGAGTCATGTCTAGCCTGTTGATCAAATAGATATGTATGTTGAGTCTTTAAGTAATTGTATCTTTGTTTTTGTTACTTCTATTAATTTCTTATGATTGAATTCTTCAAATAAGTACAGGTTCCTGGATAAGGTCTGCATCAAAATCCAAGATGCAAGTCAGGCAAGTGAGAGTCGGTGGAGATTATGCACGGTGGCTCAAATGGAGCAAGTGAGGATACTCGTTTCAGTCATTCCTATATTTGCCTGCACTATCATTTTCAACACTATTTTAGCACAGCTACAGACTTTCTCAGTTCAACAAGGAAGTTCTATGAACACTCGGATCACAAAAAGCTTCAAAATCCCTCCAGCTTCACTTCAATCCATCCCTTACATCATGCTTATCTTTGTTGTCCCGCTCTATGAAACTGTCTTTGTACCGTTTGCTCGAAGAATCACTGGAAAAGACTGTGGAATTACTCCTCTACAAAGGGTTGGAATCGGACTTTTTATTGCAACATTTTCCATGGTTTCAGCTGCGTTAATTGAAAGGAAGAGAAGAACCTCAGCTCTGGATTATCAGGAAACGTTGTCCATATTTTGGATTGCTCCCCAATTTCTCATCTTTGGTCTCTCAGAGATGTTCACTGCAGTAGGTCTTATAGAGTTCTTCTACAAACAATCCTTGGAAGGGATGCAGTCCTTTCTAACTGCCATGACATATTGCTCATACTCATTTGGCTTCTACCTGAGTTCCCTCCTTGTTTCTCTAGTGAACAAAATTACCTCAAGCTCTTCAAATGGTGGCTGGCTTAGCGACAATGACCTAAACAAAAACAAGTTAGACCTTTTCTATTGGTTACTAGCTGCCCTAAGTCTCATCAACTTCTTTAATTATCTTTTTTGGTCAAGATGGTATTCTTATAATCCATCTCTATCACCTACTGCACCCCATGATCACTCTCTTAGACAAGACATAGAGAGCCAAAACTTCAACTCTTCTAAGCATGTTGGACCTGAAAATAATATATCTTGAACATCGTTATCTCCCTAATGAATTATTTTTTCCCTTTGACTAGCTATGTCTTACTATTGTATATTGTAGAAAAAGAGAACCCTAGGTAGATTACTGTGTAAGTTGCAGACCACAACCTATTTAGCGCAACAGCTAGGTTGATATGTAACTGTAGTACTGTTTCTTCTACTTTCCTTTTATTTTAAATAATTTGACTGTATAAGGTGGACTGTGGAGGGTCCCCAAAGCCTTTTTAAGTTGATTCCAAATGTCTGTAGGGAAGTTAGGTCTAATCCCATCAACTACAAGATTCAATGCATGCTCCCAGAGTGATCCTCCTTTTCTTCTTTGGTTTCTTTCAGTGATCATGTGTAAGGAGGTCTCTTCTCATTTTCTTTCTTTTGTTGAAGAAAGGAAGATGTAAGTGGTGGGGTTATGCTTTATGCTTTAGTTTGTTGAAAGAATATATGGGTTTTTTAATCTGTAATTTATGATGATAGTTCTGAAATTTGGAACATGTTGTTCCTGGCCTTACGTGCTAAAGCAAAAACACTTGAAAAGGATAAAATCGGAAGAAAGAAAAAAAAAAGAGAGTGAAAAGAAAACCTGTTCTCATGTCATCTTTACATAGAAACATGTCTAGTGCATGTTTTAAGCGCCGCCCTCCTTCGCTAATGCCTAGCTGCATTACAATCCTCCTGCCACTACTAGCCTGGGTGAGAGTGATTTCCGTCGTCATTTCCGTTCTGTAGTTTACTAAAAGACTTCTGTGGACCCAATGAGTAACTATCTTTACCAACATGGTTGGCCCAGATGGTCAAATGTTGGCCACAATCCGAGGACAAAATCGTAGCTTAAGGACCAAGGATGGCTCAAACTTTAAACTTTACACAAACTAGAATGGCTGGTGAAAAATTGGCTAATGCCATTCGGATAGAGTACATTATTATTGACTTCCTATAATTTTAGAAAATCTAATATATATATATTGGTTTAAGAAATTAAAATAATGAATCCCCTTGTAACTTAATTAGTTCCTTTCCTTAGTTTTCCATGACTATTTAAGATTTATTTGGTCTTCCTCAATTTATAAGTAAACTACTCTTTTTAGTTGATTATATATTAAAAAAATGATTTTCTTATAATCAACTGTTTGTTACTTTTTTAAAGATAATATATGAGTGTTTCTCAAAAGTAATCTGTTTATTAAGTATTTCTACTTTTAAAAGTTAGATATAAATCTATTTAGTTTATAACTACAATAATGCGAAACATAACCTTATTCTATCATATTAAGCCAAAATTTTCAATCAACTTTCATCAAAAACTGAATTTAAAGTTTTTTTTTAAAAATAAAAAAATAAAAAAAACTAACTTACAAAACATAGAAAACACAATTAGAATTATATTATAATTTACTCTTTTAAATGTCACCACCTAGAATCCTCATAGTGAGGAAAATTAAAAGAAGGCACCCAACCAAAAGTGTATGTACAGGCTTGACCAAGGCAAAAATAATAAATCCCAGGTTGGCTAACTTGAGTCATCGATCTTGGTCTCCTAATAGTTGGAGACCCCTCCAGCGAATAAGTGGTACAACGTAATTTTTCATTTACTTTTGAACACTTATCTCGACTATATTTTTCCCAATCAATTTTATTTTCACTGGATTCAAAGTGATTGCAAATATATCTATTCTTATATCATTCTTCTAAATTTCATGTCTTCTTTCAATTATATTATTATTTGGCTATACCTCTCGACACATGGATGATTCAATTTTGATATTTTGTTTATTTATAAATACACAAGCTAGTTATATTTTATACAATAATCGTGATTAAATATTATTTTGATTGAGGTTCAAATCTTAATAGATTAATTTTATTAGGAGTTTTGAGTGTGTGAGTTAAAAAAATATTATTTTAGTTGATATAATTATTTCTATTTGTATTATTTTTATTGTATTTAAATGGAAATGACATTGAATCCAATAGTCATGAAACTAAAATACTCAATTCAAATATTATTTCATCCAATATCAGAATCCTAATGTTTGTACACAAATGTATTAACAATTGGAATTATTTGCTTGTTAGGTCACATACTTAACTTTACATATATCCAATCCAAACACACCCATGCACCAATTAATATCTGTTTTTTTTTTCTTGCTATTTGTTGAGTGAAAATATGTAGACATAATATACTCTACATTCTTATTGCTATTTATATTTGAAAGAGATATTATAAAATTATAATACATGATTTCATAATTTTATTAGTAATGGGCTTAACTTAAAAATAATAAGTATATAAATGTCATATAATTTAGATACTGTACTATGATAAATTTTTAAATAATTTAAGGGACGTTTGATAAGATTTAATTTAGAATTAGAGAACTTCTTACTTCTTTATCACCTAATGGGGAAAAAAAAATGCAGCATACATATTAAATTAAGCTTATGATATGAATTTTCAATTTATTTAAGTAAAAATAACCAAAATAAAAAAACATATTATGCGAATTTTTGAATTCAAAATTTTTAGTTTAAAACTTTTGTCTTACTTTCTCGCCTAAAGATTTATTAATGTATTTAAATTTTATAAAATGGCAAAGATAATCCATTTTATTTTGCTAATATTTAACATGGAATCTTAATATTGGTTATCACTAATTGTATCACTACATGAAAACGAGTAAAATAGTGATGGATTTTTCTCGTCACTATATCGTCCATATCTCGTCGTTATTTAGACTTAGCGATAGATTTTCGACAACATATTTTCAACGGTACATGTGGTCATCTATTTCTTAGTGATGAAATTTTCTTTTTGTCGCTAATGTGTAGAATTCTCGTCGCTAAATTGAAGTAAACTTTTGTCTCTTTGGTCTATTATGTGTCACAACATTGTCACTAATTAGTTATTTTCATCATTACATAACGATGAAATTATTGTCGCTAAATCATACTCGTTAAGTTTCTCACAAATTCATTGCTATTTAGCGATGTATATGTGTCCATTACAAAGAGATTTAATTTTTGTCACTAATTCGATCGTTAAACTAATTTTTTTTATATATAAATTAATTATCGTTTAATATTAATGGTAGTAACCAACAACTAAAAATGACATCTTATTAAAATACGATCTATTATTTAATTAAATTAAAATAATATAAATTAAAATAAAACAAATATATAAACGCATTAAAGTATACAAAAATATTAAAAACCTTTTAAAAAATAAGAAATCTAGTCCTCATCATCATATCGTACATCATCTTCTAGCTGCTAGGTATTGAGAGAAATAGTTGACTCTTGGGTTGTGAGGAGGTTAGCAGGGGGACGCGAGTCCGCTATAGGTCCCATAACATCTTCGTCACTATTTGCATCCGACTTTGTAGAGTGATGAATTGACCAACTTATTTTTGGATTGTAAGCTCCATCCCCTTAATCCTATCTTCATACTCGGGTAGAAACCTCATAAATATTACCATTAGGATATCGCGAAGTGGCAAAAGAGGAGGCGAGTGCGAGTGGGAGTAAAACCGGGATGCTTGTGATTTGAGGTCGTATACTTTCTGCTTCTTCCCCCTTTAGCAACATTTAAATATATCTTGGTCATGTCGATGTTTGGAGATGATTAATCACCCTTTTCTGCTTCTTAGCAATTGCTTCATGCGGTGAGTGCACATGCTCCTCTATCATTGAAATAATTATAATATTAAATAATAAATATATCCTTTTAGATTATATTGATATATGTATATTTACTAAAATAAAAAACTTACCATTATTGTACGTGTATCGTCCGTCGACAAATGACCCATCTTTTCACTTGTGAATGATCAAGAACAACTTATAAGAATTTGGGTTATGACCCAATTTATTATAATAAAAAAAATAAAAAAATAATATTAGATTAAATAAATGTAAAAATTAATTTATAACACAATGGATATAGGATTTATCAAACGTTTAGCATGCTCAATTAAAAAGATGAACCCTTTCGTATGCCTGGATAGGCCAATACCAACAACACTTGTGTCACGACTTTGAAAATGGGCCATGATCGACGTGAGGATCGAGAAAACTATAAGGTCCGCCTTGACCGAAGCAAGCCACGGATACTAATCTAAAAGCCTTAAATGTCATTTCAATTTATATTATCCTAAATTAATAATCATTATATCAATCTAACACAAATCATAATTTTAATATCATAATTGTATTTCTCAATCCATATTCATGATTAATTCTTAATACGAGCATCCATAGCTATAATCGCAGAGCATCTAAAAATACATTTTGAACAAATATAGGTTCTAAGAAATTTGCAAGAAAGTAAGCCATGCGATCAATATGCCGACTTTGAATCGAGCAATCAAAAGGAAGCAATGAACAATCTCTCAATATTCCGGAAGACCGAAATAAGAAGGGGTGAGCAATCCATAGCTTAGTGAGTAGACATTATATAATATACTAAGAAAAACAAACTAAGGATAATATTCTCAAATCCATGTCAAAATACAATGCTTATTTTGCAAAATACATGCATATTCAAAACACATCTCATATCACAAATCAAATGATTTATAACCATTTCGTATCAAATCATCAAAATATTTATACATACATATATCGTACCGATACAAAAACACATATATAGGTTTTTATACACTTATGGGTTAATAACGTATCATTGGGTGTGAACACCCAAAGGTCATGCCCCCTTGGACTAGGTTTTCATATGTTGACCGATACACAATCCGGCACTCTTTCCTACTTCTCTTACTAGATGGAGCCTCGTATCATTGAGCTAAAGACTATCCCTCGATAATTAGGTTCCCTAAGGTCTTAAAAATAATTTCAAAAACCAAACGTATTTATACATTTTCAAATCGATATTTCAAATACCATGCATGCATTTTAAGAAATTATACGGATAATTAAAATAATATTTACAACGTATTTGCTCATGTTCGAAAACACATATTCAAAACCCTTTTTGGTTCATATCAAATCATTCGATATGAAAATATATCAACATTCATGATGTCCGTTCCCATCTATGTTACGATGAAATGCTTCTAAATTATTCTTAAACAATGATGTATGATGAACAAATCAAGAAATTTAAAACACGATACATTATATAATATCCACTCATAGCATAATTTAAAAAGCTGAACGGAATCAAGGTTGTGATGGAGTCGCTAGCTCGAGAGGAATCTTACATCACAAGATGTTGAGGCATCCATCAATATCCTATCTCGAGGAATAATTCAAAACGATGAAAATAAGCATATAAGATTATCAAACAAAAATAGAATTGATTGGAAAGACTCAAATCGATAACTTTAACTAGACCCTATGATCTCTCTAATAATTTTAATCCATTTTTTCACTAAATCCCATCATCGCTAATTCTTAATTCAAGCATGAATTTCCAATTAAATGATCTATTACATTCTAAATTACTAAATACTCATTACGTTAACCTTAAATTGCATTTATCACTATTCAATATCTTCAACCTCTCAAATTTTCAACTTATAATCATTTTTTCCCAAATGGGTCTTAAAAATCTAACCTTAACCTAAGCAAGTTCTCAAGTAATTTACAATCAAAAGCTATCCATCTCAATATCATTCTTAGTTTCACATAAACTTCACAATTTAAAGGATCTTACCTTTAAAAATGCTCTTCAAATCCTTCTTAGTTTTTTAAG